CCGTCGTCGTCCCCGACCCTCGGAAAGTTCTGGGATCGAAAGTTCGCCAGTTCCCGACATCAATCGAGGGGGGGGTCTGCGGACGCAGTCGCCGAGGGGAGCCCGCCCGGCTGCCTCCCGGGCCTGACCGCCAGGCGCCTCCCCCTCGGCGGGCGGGCTCCGCGCACCGCCCCCCCGGCGGAAGGGGGGGGGCCGGGCCGCTGGCCTCCGACACCGCGCGGGCCCGCCTGGCCGGCAGGCCCCCGCCCCTTCGGCGGCGGCTCGCGGGAGCCTCCCGTGCCGGCCCCGGTGGTGCACAGCGGGGGTCCCGAGGGATGGGGGCCGAAGGGCAGGGAAGGGGATCCGAGTGTGGACTGAGGCTGCGTCAGGCACCTCGTGGTCAGGACCCCATCCCTCAGGACCCCCACCGATGCCGACGGTCTGCAGCCCCTGAGAACCCGGCGTCGCAGAGTGTTCTCGCAGGGGGCGACCTCGACCCGCGGCTTGGAATGCCCCAGGGCCCTCGTGGATCGATCCTGGGGCCCCAATCCGCTCTCGCAGAGGCGTCGGCAGCGGCAGCAGGACCGAGGGCCGACCGCTCCTGCAGCGAGGCCGAAACCGACCGAGACCGACGGGCGGATAGGAGTAGAAGAAGAGCAAAACGCCACACACATAAACTTTTGGCGCTCCGCGCGGATTTCTTGGATTCGCATTCTCTCCTTCGACTGATATACACCTGCACCCTGCACCCATCCTGGCCAGGCTCATCCTGGTCCCAGGAGCCAGCCTGGCCTGGGGAGGAGGGCCGAGGCACCAATCCTGGGCCCGAGATCGGCCTGGCCAGGATCGATGTGCAGTCAAGTCGCATAATGAGGATGCGCGGTAAGGACGCACAGGGCCTTGAAAGGCCCTGTTGGCATTTTCGGACGGGGCTGGCCAGCAAAAGTCGCCAAGGATGGACCGAAGGGGCAGGGCTGCAGGGGCAGCCTTGGAAAAATGTTCATCCTTACTTGTTTTCACAGCAGCGAGTACCAACCTCGGGTGACGAGATGCAAGCGAGATGCAAACCGAGGAAGCCCAGAGTCACTGAAGGGGCCCTGGGGCACACACATAAAACACACAAATAACAGGATTATCCATACTGTTTCATAGTTGGGTTTGTCTTCTGTCTTCCCCCAATTCCCATATTTTGCCATCCTTTCTGCGGAATCGACGATTAATTGTGTCTGTGTGCTTTTTCCCTCCTGACTGCAGCAGGCGAACCAACACGTGAAACCTTGGCTCGTGCAGCAACTGGCAGGACCTCGGTGCGCATCCTTACTGCTCCCTGCACCGACCTTGCGGACGTGCTGCGGCGGATTTGTACGTGGATTTCTGCCAAAATGCAGAACCCCGCAAGGGCGAGTGAAAAACGATGTGAACGGCGCGTGGATGTTTCCTAGTCTTCATCCCTGGCCACAAGATCCGCACGGAACTCCCCTCGAAATCTGGAACGGAGCTCTCCAGGACACCCCGGGCCCATCCGATCGATGTCCGAACGACATCCGCTCTGCGATGTTGGCGCGATGATAATGTGCGATCTCACTGTCGGGGAGACGAAAGACTCGGGTACGGGGGTCTCGGGTTGGCCCAGGACGAGACCCAATCCGAAATTTGACGCGGGCTCCCGCTGCAGACGTCCCACGACAACGGGACCGTCAAAATGAAGGACGCGCTCATCAGAAAAAAGCTGGCTGGCAAACCCGAGTTCCGGCTAAACGTTTCTCCGATCCATAATTGTGGTTGTGCTTCTTTCTTAAACGAAGAACAAAGCGGCACAAACATAAAACTGTTGGAGGGTCCGTGCGGAGTTCTAGGATCCGCGCGGAAGCCCACTCCCTGGCGTGCGAAGCGCGCCAGGGGCGGCGCCGGAGTAGCCGCCAGGAAAGCCCAAACGCCGATCCAAGGAATCTTCGCGGAGCTCCACGTCATTATGTCGGGCCGATTGGAGGAATCTTCGCGAATCTCCACGACATGATGTCGGGGGACGGAAAGTTTCCCCGACACTGCAGGTGCATCAGTGGACAAAGCTCGCTTCAGCAAACCTCCCCTTTGTGAAAACGGCCTATAGGACCGAAACCGACAGACCTGGACCCGCAGAAGTGACGGCCGCGACGCCCTCTCGCGAACCGAGAACGGCCAATCCCTTAGTCGACGTGTCAGGGTGGGCGGTCTATCAACCTCCGAGACACTGCGGGCGCATCGGTCCATCATGCGCGCGCGGCCCGCGGCGCCGGCGGCGGTGAGCAGCCCGCCGCAGCCGGGGCTCGACCGGAGCGGCGTGATCCGCTGTCGTGCTACTTCGGCGGTGGACAAACCTCCCTTCAGTAAGCCTCCATGTAGTAGTGAACACGGCCTAGGACCGAAACCGACGGACCTGGGCCCGCGGTAATGACGGCCGCGACGCCCTCTCGCGAACTGTTGTAGCGGGCGCGCATACATGGACTAGCGATCGGTGGGTTTGGCGCGCGGTCGCCAGATCCATGGATCGGGGGAGGTGCCCTGTGTCCGTTTCTAGTTTCCCGTCCTGGGTGTTCTCTTCGTTCCGCCTTCGCTGCAAAGCGCTGCATCAAAGCAGCGGTTCGCGGTCCACGACATCGCGATTCGTTCGGATCAAGCCCGGGCCCCCCGGGGGAGCGGCAAGCCAGACCGCGGCCGTCTGGGGTCGGAGAACGCGCACGCCCCCGTGAGCTCGCAAAACATCTTCTTCCGCGACAGCGTGCGATGCTCGAGGACCTCGGGGCGCAGAAGGACAGAATCACTCCTCCTCTTCCTCCTCCTCCTCCTCCTCCTCCTCCTCCTCCTTCTGTTCCTGGTCCTGTTCCTGTTCCCGTTCCTATGCCTCCTCCTCCTCCTTCTCCTCCTCCTCCTGTTCCTGTTCCTCTGCCTCCAACTCCTCCTCCTCCTCTTCCTCCTGTTCCTCCTCCTCCTCCTGTTGTTGTTGTTCCTGCTCCTGCTCCTGCTCCTGTTCCTGTTATTCCTGCTCCTGCTCCTGCTCGTTCCTGCTCCTCCTCCTCCTCCTCCTCCTCCTGCTCAACCACACCCTGTCGACCCCCAAAGTGTCTACACCTAGGCCAGATGACCATCCCTCAAGAACAGGAGCCCCTCCGTTGGGCCATGCAGGCACGACATCCAAGGTACCATCACCAGTATGCAGAACAACATCCAACGGACACGAAGAACATCAGGGTGCCCTCGCCGAACCGACCTCGATCTTGTGCCTCTGTCCGACTGCACTGTGCGCCCTTCTCGGAAGGCCCCCCTCCGACTCGAACGAACACCGCAAGCCTCTGATAGAATATCTGTTCCCCGGGCGGCAGGATCGGGGGGAACGAAAGGGGGGGATAACAAGGGGCAGGGTGGAGAATCAGCTCACGTAGCTGATCTTCCAAGCGCCTCCTGGTGCCGGGAGGCGCCCATGTGTCGAGGAAGGAGAACGGCGGCGGGGCCGAAACCAGCTGTATGCAGCAGCTCTCGGCACCCCGCTTCCCTATCCCCCCCTTTCGTGAAGGGGCCCTGAGACACACAAATAAATACACACAAATAAAAGGATTCCCCATATTTCCCCATATCTTCTAGGTTTCTGTCTTCCCCCCCACTGCCCATATTTTCCCATATTTTCTTGGGAATCGACGATGAATTGTGTCTGTGTGCTCTTCCCCTCCTGAAGCCAACTGTGTGCAGCAGTTTTCGTAACCCCGCTTTCCCTGTCCCCCCCCTCGTTCGGCCCGGCGGGGCCAGAGAGCGCCCGCCACGGAGCACACGCTGTGAGACATCTGAGCGCGCGCGTCGCCCCTGGGCAGTACCGTCAAACACCCTAAGAAGGACGCGCGGTAAGGACGCAGGACCCTTGGAAGCCGAAGTTGGGATTTCTTGGGCGGCGGACGACGAAAACCCGAAGGACGCAAGAGCAAGGAAGAGCAAGGACGCAAGGGTACCATGAGCAAAGTCGCGCGTACTTATTATGGTTTTTGACTCTACAGTGGAGGCCAGTCCACCAGAAACCTTCCAAAAAGGAAGCCCAACCCTGATACCTCGGGGATGGACAGACACCCCTTTAGCAAAACGTGGTTTAGTGACAACGACCTGAGGCCCAAACCTGGCGGGCGCAAGCCTGGAAAATAACGGCCACGGCGCCCTCTCGAGAACCGAAAACGGACAATTCACTAATCGACGTGCCACTGTTGGGGGTTCTGTCCACCCCCGAATACCGCAGGACGCCCCTTGATGTCTGGTGGTGGGCACGTCGTGCTGTCCATGGCCAGGCCATCGAAGCCCAAGAAGCAACCCAGGGCCCCCTGGAGGCAGGCAGGGTGCTTCTTGGCATGGGTCTCCACTGTGTGTTTGGGTGGTGCCGAAACCTCGCCGCTCGAGGGCCGGGCCGCGGGGGGTCCGGGGTGGAGCGCCGAGGATCGAGCACCGAAGGCTTCGGGCGTGATCGGGCGTGGTCACAGGATCCGGGGTGTCTGCCAGCCTCGGGATGCCTGCCAACAGCCGCGCTTTGCCAAGAGCGTTCTGGGGGTGCCCGAGTCGTCCCGGACGGCAGCCGGATGAGCGAGCTGTGACCCCAGACGACCAAGTTGGGACTGGGCCAGTGGAGCAGCCCTGCGAACAGAACTCCAAGGACGCTACTTGGCAGCGTAACGGGAAGGCAGCCCGGCGCAGGGGTGCGGGCGCTAGCCTCGCTCATCTATGGAGGGCAACAAATCCACCCCCAATCACCCCGACACGCGAAGCCGCGTACTAAACGCCCCACTGCAGGAATCGAACAGGGCAGGGGTGTTTAGTAAACGCTCAAGGCCGTTTAGCAAGCGCCAATTGTCCAGTCCGGGTGGTTCTTCCTCCCTTGAATCTAGGGACCCCTGGGGCCGACCTGGTATAAGCGGTGCAGCGCCCGGAACAGGACGGGATGAGAACAAAAAAAAGCTCTCGGCCGTCCGCGCGGATGTCTTGGGTCAGCGCTGGGGGCCCCCCTGGCGGCGGCTCCAGCGCCGCCCTGGCGTGCTACGCGCGCCAGGGAGGGGGGTCCTTAGCGCCAATCGAAGAAATCCGCGCGGTGCTCCTATGTTTATGATGCTTTTCTTCTCCGATCGGGAGCCGGCGTCGAGGATCGAGCGCCGAGGGGCATTGAATGCCCCCCCCCCTTCCCCTCCAGGCCCGCCTGGTGGTTTCCGGATCAAAACTCGGGCCTCTGGCGGCCGTGCGGGCAGATCTGGCCACCCCCGTAACGCTACCCCGGCGCTGGGAAACCTGGTGGGACGAGCCTCGAACCTCTAGTTACCCCCCCCGCCCTGAACCACTGTCTCCAACCACGACGGCCCAGGAGGAGCAGCACGAGCGAGGGATGGACGAAGGAGGATGGCGAAGGAGGACGAAGGGATGGACGATTTTTCGAGACCTCTGCCAGCAATCCTTCAAGCGAGCCAAGGATTTACAGACAGGGATTCAAACGGCCCGCATACCAGCGAGAAGTAGTTTAATACGACTACAGCTGCCTTGAGCGACCACAAGATTTGCACTGCCCTTATGCCTTATCCAAATTGCTTCTGCGTGTACCCACAGGCTGGGGCCAGGAGGAGAGAGAGAAAGAGAGACAGAAAGAAAGAAAGAGAGAGAGAGAGAGAGAAAGAACAAACAAAAACACACACACACACACAACAGACACATATCCGCATTCACAATCACGCTCACATTCGCATTCACATTCATATTCCCATTCCCACTCCCACTCACATTCACATCCGCACGCACACGCACACACACACACACCTGCGGGCGGAACCCGTCCCAGCGCGGGAAGGGGCAACTGGCGCCGCAGCCCATCAGTTCAGCCTGTGCAACAAAACTCGTTCTCCACAACTCTCCACCAAATGTGACTTGCAGCTGTGCGAGGCCAATTTCAGCAAGGGGGAATCGGTTTAACAGAAACGGGTCCTGGGCCCCAGGGCCTTCCTCCACGATCAATCACTTCTACATCCTGAGTCGTTTTCTGACAGATCCGGGGCCCGTGGAGGGCCCCAGGAACCCGAAAACGGCGAAAAGCTCCAGGACTCGTTTCCCTCAGGACCCGCTTCCCCCCCCGCGACAGTGTGCCCCATCCACGTCACTTCCGTCATCCAGCAGAAGCTGTACTATCTTCTGGTTGCACCTTTTTGGGGGCCCGCGTTTGCGGCTCCACCTCTTTGGGTGCCCGGCCCGCGTGGTCAGCTGAGACCCCCGAACTCACGCGCCGCACCGCGCGGGGAGGCGAGTCGCTGTAGCCCTCCGCGCCCCAATGCGCAGAGGCAAGGCTTCCGCCCGTCCAACCCCCTCTCGAACGCCCATCCCCACTTGTCGTCGTCCTCCTCCTCCTCCTCCTCCTTCTCCTCCTCCTTTTCCTCCTCTTTTTCCTCCTCCTCATCCTTCTCATCCCCCTCCTCCTCCTTCTCCTCCCCCCGCCTTCCTCCTTCTCCTCCCCCAGACTTCCTCCTTCTCCTCCCCCTCCTCCTCCTTCTCCTCCCCCCTCCTCCTCTCCCTCCTCCTCTTTCTCCTCCACCGCTTCCCTACCTCTCCTTTCCTCCTCCCTCCCCTCCCCTCCCCCCCCATCTCGTCCTCGTCCTCGTCCTCGTCCTCGTCCTCGTCCTCGTCCTCGTCCTCCTCCTCCTCTTCCTCCTCCTCCCTGGGCAGCGCTTGCGGCCTCGCCCCCCTCACGCCCGCGCCCCGCGCGCACTCGACGGGCGCGAGCCGTCGCCCCCCGCCCGTGGCGGCAACGCAGGGGCCGTCCCTGCCGCCGCCATGGGATGGCGGCAGGGCAGCGCTGCGGGAGGGCGGAAGACGTCGAGCGGGGGCTGCTGCAGCACCCGAGGGATACGCACAGACTCGTTGAGTATCGTTGAGACGATCCCCATCCCCAGCGGCGTGGCCTGGGCCCCACTGGCCGATTTACCCCCCTCCCCCTGATAGGGATATGGGCCGTTCCCATTCGGGATCCGAGGGGCGTACCCCCAACTAGGGTGGTAATTTGGTGTGGGTCTCGAGGGGGATGGGGATCGGTCTAAAGGATACCGACTCATGGAACCCCCTCTGCAAAGAGGCGTCCGCGTGCGCAGGCCCACCGCTGCAGAGCGGACTCGCGGGAAAGTGGCGGGCAAGCGGGCTGCGAGGCCGCCGAGAGCACGCCGGATGGCGCGTATCTCCCGCCAAGGCCCATGGCGATGGGGGGGACACCACGCCCGTTGATCCGCTGCGCCACCACAGCTGGACCGAGAGGGAGCATGTGGAGCACTTGCGCAGCACAGCGTGCGGGGAGACATAATCGGAGGAGGGAGGTGGAGCGATAGCTAGCAGAAGGGCTGGCCGACGCCTGGGCTGTATTCGCTGGAACCTCTCGCTCAACCCCAGCAGCCAGGCCCGTCTGGGAGATGCGGGCGAGGTTCTCGGCCCTTCGTAAAAAGGGTTAGAACACTCAGCAGAAAGCTGCCGTCTGTCCACGGTGGCAATACGCCGGCAGCGGTGGCACAAATACATGCCAAAACGGCCCCAGAAGCCGCGGCGGTGGGACTCGCTGAGGGTAATCCGGCAGACAACCATGGGTCCTGGAACCGAGACGACAACATCGTGAGGCCAGATCTGGGCCCCGTCGCAAACGCGCTTCGAGCAACTCCAGAAGACCGGCCCTGGTGGAGAAACTCCCGCACCCGGAACACGCCACACTCTACGAGTCGATGTCCAACGATCTGGAAGACAAATTGGCACTGGAGCGCGTCAGCGCCGAGGGGGCGACCGAGTTTCGAGCACTGCTGTACATGCCCCGCCGCATCCCGTACGAAATGACTGGGTGCAAGAAGCACCGCAATAGCATCAAACTCTCCACGCGGCGCGACCATGGTTTGGCCGACTGCGATTACCTCGTGCCTGAGTTGCTCAAGTTCGTCACGGGCGTGGTGACCTCCAAGGACCTCCAGCCGACCATCTCCCGCGGGACAATGCACAAGGACAAGATCCTGCGCGTGAGCAAGAAGCACTTCGTCGAAACGTGAACGTGCCTGGTCGCGGAGCTGGCCGAGCAGCACGACGACCACGAGAAGCTCCATGAACACACGGGACGGCATATCCAAATGGACATCCCTCCAGCCACTGCCCTTGAGCGGGGACCGACCGTCCTGGCATTCCTATAGTCCTACCACGAAATGTTCTTAGAACCCAACTTTTACGTCCCAAGAACAAAACAATGTTCTTAGACCATAAACCCGATGCGCCAAAACAAACCCGTCCCAGCCAGAAATGTTCGAAGAACATTTCGTGCAAACCACGAAAGGTTCTTAAAACATTATTTGGTAGGCTTATAGGTAAGCCAGGACGCTTCGCCACTGCTGGATGCCCAAGGCTAGGTGGGAAGCACTACGGGCGACAAGATGGTCCGCTGGCGCCCAAGGCCCAAGGCATCCGCGGAACATCTGCGGCCAAGGGCGACAACAACGCGTCCATCAAAGCCGTCGCGCACGACGCCTTCGCTCATGCCCTCGATCGCCCACCGAACCTCAGTCGTCGATGGTGCGCGCACATTTGTGTCCCAGGCCGCGACCCATCCGTTCTGAACCCTCGAGAAGCAGCCCGACGTCTCGCGCGAGATGCGGGTCCTCAACGTGATGGCCATGGAGCCTATCGAATACCCGGAAGAACGCAGCGGATCAACACCCGCTTCGGGGGTGCGGCGACGTCGCCGTCGTGGACGGCGTCGGCGTCGGCGTCGGCGCCGGCGCCAGCGCCGCTGCCGCCGCTGCCGCCGCTGCCGCCGCTGCCGCCATCGACTGCGAAGGAGCCGCCTGCGAAACGCCCCACGGCAGTTTGCTGAAGTGGGCGCCCGTGCTCTCCTGCGCGCCGCCGGGCAGCCAGATCTTGACGATGCCGTCGGAGCCTCGGGCGGCGCGAGGGCGAGGGGCCCTCCAAGGAAGGAGGGGAGGAAGGGAGGTCGAAGAGTGCGTGGCGAGAGAGGGGGAGGAGGAGGAGGAGGAGGAGGAGGAGGAGGAGGAGGAGGAGGAGGAGGAGGAGGAGGAGGAGGAGGAGGAGAGGAGGAGAGGAGGAGGAGGAGGAGGAGGAGGGGGAGGAGGAGGAGGAGGAGGAGGAGGAGGAGGAGGAGGAGGAGGACGAGGAGGAGGAGGAGGAGGAGGACGAGGAGGAGGGGGAGGAGGAGGAGGAGGAGAAATATGAGTAGGAAAAATAGGAGGAATAGAAGTAGAAGGACGAGGAGGAAGAGGACGAGGAAGAGGATGCGAGGCGGCATCGGCCGTAAGGCCTTTGCAATAGGAGTTGAAGGACGAGGAGGAAGAGGACGAGGAAGAGGATGCGATGCGACCACCGCTGCGGTCAGTGTCCGGGCCTAGCTCAGACAAGGTGGGTGAGGCCGTGGCCTCGAAAATCTGGTTTGCCTGGAAAAGTGAAATGCGAGACACATGGGTAAAACAAAAGGTTTGGAGGAGAAACGCAAAAAGAAGAAAATCAAGTCCTTGGTGCTGGTGTCGGCGCGGGCTGGGCGTGTCGTCTCGACTTCCGTGGTCGTTCAATTCAGGGGTCTGGGCCCTGGGTGTTTGTTGGTGTGGGGTCGGTGTAACGATGTTCGAGCGCCATCTAGTGTCTTGGGCAGTTTGCGTCCTCGTGATGTCGCTTGGTTGTCCTTTCGAGTAGGTATGTGTGGACGGTCGGTAGAAGTCTGGTCGGCGCTGGCGAAAATAAGCGTCGACTTCGTCATCCCAGCTCTTGCGTTTGCCACTGTGCTGCCTCTGCCGCTGCTGGCGACGGCCCGGGTCTGGTTACCAGCGTAGCACTCGCCATGCCCACCCTGTTCGGTCGTGGCGCGTGACTCCTGAAACCATGCGCCCGCTTCGCTTGCGCACCGCCACCCAGTTGTCGACGCGGTGAATTTCCTCACGGTGCTCCGCGCCTCGTGCCACTCGCTCGAAGTAGTCGGCCCAGTGCTCGAACGTGTCTGCACTCGTGTTGCCTTCGCCGCTCTCGATGCGCATGTCGGGCGTGGCCGTTGTTCCGCGTTGCAGGTGGGTAGCTCTCTGCGTCGTCACCCGTGCTGTTGGTGTTGTGGTCGTTGTCTGGTGTATCCTTGTTTGTGCTGTCGAACGCAGTGGGTCTCCGTCTGGTGTGAAGCATTGTTTGTTGTGTTTATGCGTCGCCGCGGCTCTCTGATGATCATGCGAAGAATGCGTCGTGGTGTCCGTCGTAAATGCTGCTGAAGGGTCTATGTGAAAGTCCTCGGCTCTGCTCCGTATAATACTGTCAGCGTTCCAGTGCTACTGAACCGAAACAGTCGGTGAACCAGAAGGTAGTACTTGCTGGTCAGCTCTTGCTCGCGAAAAATGAGCGATGCCCATGCAACTCTCGTTCGGTGGCGGATTCCGCGCCCATCAGCTCATGGAAGCTGATCAATGGGTCGAGGTCTTTGAGACTGTCCTTGTACGGGCTGCTTTCGATATTCGATTTGACACGTGTTGTGCGTGAGCTCGCCCTCCTGGTCCTTCTCGTCCGGTTGCGTGATATGTTTGTGTTGCCCGGATATTGTTCGAGCCCGTGCGGTTTTGTTGCGCGCAATGTCATCGAACACCGTAATCGGACGCAGGGTTGGCTGGTCAGGAGCGCGTCGCCGGCGCAACGTAGATTGGAAGGCGCGGAGGAGGAGGAGGAGGAGGAGGAGGAGGAGGAGGAGGCCAAAGATGGGGGAGGGAAGAGGTAGAAGGGCAAAAAAAAATGGCCAATAAGAATGAGGAGGATGAGAAGAAGGCGGAGGCGCAGGAGGAGGGGCAGGAGGAGGGATGCGGAGGGCGATGAAGGGGTAGAGGGGGGGGGGCGGGGAGGCGAGGGAGACGGCGGAGGAGGAGCTGGAGGATGAGTGAGAGGGGATGGGCTGGAGAGGTATGGAGAGGGCGGGGGACGCACACGGGAGCCAGGAGGGAGGAGGGAGGAGAGGCCATGATTTTCCTGACCTGACGCTGCTGCGGCCCGATGGGGCCCCATGAACCGCTGGTGACAGCAGACAAGAACAAAAAACGCCGAAGGGCGCAGGCGCGGAGAAAGGCAACCCTTGAAAACGAGGAGAACCACTGGATGAGGAGGAGGAGGAGGAGGAGGAGGAGGACCATCGCATGGCTAGAGGGGGTGTTCGTGATCGATTCGTTGATCGAATTTGGGCGGGCTGATGCCTCGCCTTCTCGAGGCAGCCTGAGTCCTTTTGTACAGGCAGCGCTCACCATTCTGGAACCCGCATCCCCTCACAAGGGGGCCTTCCAAACCACACAAGGGTAGGCGACGAACGCGAGGCAGCATACAGGACACTACATCGCATGCCTGCCGATGTAATTCGAAATTCTCTATTCGCAAACAGAAGAGTTGCTGCCTGATTCGTGAGCGCAGGCTTCGCACACTCTCCACCTGCACGTAGGGCACAAAAAGATTGGTGTGAATGTTGTGGCAACGGGCCCACTGCACGTCATGCAAGGCTTGGATGCGTTGCCTCGCGTTGTTCTTCGCAGCGCGTGTCCGCGTGGGCACTGCCATGCCACGAGGCCGCCTCTGCCGATCATGGTCGAGCGACGCTTGTTGCTCTCGGCCACGGTGAACTCCATCTCGAAATTGTTGGTGGCTGCGGTCTGGGGTAGCCCCATCTCCGCCTCGAAGCCCACCGTTGCGGCAGACACGGGGCTCCTCCGCGAAGATTTCCTCGGGGCCGAAGTCTGACTCGGGGGTCTTTGGGGCGACAGCCCCGCCCTCCAGCTCTTGGTTCGCGGTGTCCTCGTTCGGCTTTACCTCCTTCTCGAGGCCCACCGTTTCGGCAGGCACGGAGATTATGTGGCTCTCTGCCTCGGTGAACTCCATCTCGAAAGCTTGCTCGGTGCCAGAGCCGACCCACGGAGCCTGCAGGGCGACTTTCCCACCCTTCAGCTCCTGTTCCGCGGCGTACTCGTTCTGATCGATCTCCTTCGCGAGACCCACCGTCGTGGCAGGCACGTAGATCATGTGGCTCTCGGCCGCGGTGAACTCCTTCTCGAAGAACTCCAAGGTGCCGAGGCCGACCACGGGGGCCTGCGGGGCGATTTGCTCGCCCTCCAGCTCCTGCTTCGCACCCAGGGCCGCGTTGATCACACCATGCTTCCCCAGATCTGAGTTGTCTTCGGAGGAGTGCACGTACCTCACGAAAATCCTCCACTCCTCGGCGGACCCTTTCACGCCCAGTGCCTCCAGGACAGCGACATCGTGTGGCACGACGGTCGCCGCATCTGCGCTGAGGGTGGGATGTGCACATTTCTCTCCTCTGCTGGCAAGGGCCGCTTCCAACAAAGGAGCGGCAGGCCAGCTGGCCTCGGAGGCGGGCCACGGGCCGCACCAGGGGGCGGCGCGTGCCGCGCAGAGTTGCCCACGATCAGCAGTTCCTCCGCCTCGTCGATGAGGTGGCGCTCGATGCCCAGGAGGCGCCCCGCATCCACCGCATCGCGGAGTGAGGGCATGTGGCAGCCCAAGGCGTCGCTCAGGCTCCAGTGCGTGGTGAGCGAGGCTCGCAGGACCTTAGCGCGGTGCGCCAAGGCCGACGCCCGCGTCGCTCCAAGTTCCCGACGTCGATCTCGTCTGAGCCGTCGCGCCCACGTTCGCGCGCTGGCAGCAGCCCAGCAGCGGCCAGCAGGGCAACCGTCCATGGCCTCTTGCGCGCCTGCGCCGGGACAGGCGCGCTGGCGAGGGCCTCCCGAAGCGCGGCTCGCTTGAGCCGGAGGAGGAGGAGGAGGAGGAGGAGGAGGAGGAGAAGAGCAGGGGGAGGAGGAGGAGGAGAAGGAGGAGGAGGAGGAGGAGGAGAAGGGGAGGGGGAAAGAGGAGGAGGAGGAGGAGGAGGAACGGCTTCCACACTCGCCGTCGTCACCGCCGCCGTCGCTGTGGACGCACAGATTGTCGTCGTGGACGCGGGTGGCGCCTACGCCTGCGAGGCGGTGGCCTATCTGCCGATTGCTCTGGGTCGTCGGGCGTGGGTCCTCTCGCTCGTCCTCCTCCATCCCTTCTCCTTGTAAACATGCTTTCCTGCCGCACCCCCAGACGTGTCGGTAGGGCGGGCCGGCGGTTCGCCCGAGGCTTCTTCGAAATGTACAGTCGGGATTGATTGGATAGGACACGCGATAGGACGCAAGACCCTTCCGAAGGCCACATTGCCATAGGAATGGAGGAGGCACGGGTCGCGGCACACAGGGCACAAGGGTACCCTTGATTGGCAGGGTCGACCTACTAATCGACCTCGACTGTATGACCCTGAAGCTTGAGATGTGCAACAGCTTCACTGATGAAGGACGGGTGGTCTTCGAAATGTGGGGTTCCTCGCCTAGCGCCGCGCACATTCGCTGCAACAGCTTGAGACGGTTTCAAGAATGGAAGGCGGTTCCTTTTCAAAACATGTGGATCTCGCTACGGCGCCGCGCGCACTCGTCTTAAAAATTACAACAATTCCGAGGATGTGTATGCCTGGAGTCACAAAAATGGTGTCCTGTTACGGCTAAGGATTAACAGGACGCAACAGTAACGTTGATTCGCGGTGCTGGAGTCTTGAACATGGTGTGATAGCGCATTTAGAAGCGTCATGACGCAATCCCAGGAACGTTGTTTGGCACGACTGAGGATTATCAGACATTTGTCTTCTAATGGGCCCTTTTCAGCAATGAAGATGAATTCTGTTGGGGACCTATGAAGAGGGAACTTGGAGGGACGGTCGGAGGTGAGGGGGTGAGATCGAAAAAGGAACGGAGAGCCCCCCTACCGGGAAATCGGTTTCGGTTTCGTGTTCGTGTTCGTGCGGTGCGTGCGGGCGAGGCGAAGCTGCGTGGGCGGGCGAGAAGAAAGTCTCCTCAGGCTGAGGCACGGCCGGACCAAATGATTCCTCTCCGGGGGCCGGTGGCGCGCGGTGTCCCGCTGGTGTCCCGCCTCCGGCTGAGGCGCGGCCGGACCAAATGTTTCCTCTCCGGGGGCCGGTGGCGCGCGGTGTCCCGCCGGTGTCCCGCTGGTGTCCCGTCGGTGTCCCGATGATGATGATGATGATGATGATGATGATGATGATGATGATGATGATGATGATGATGATGATGATGGTGGTGATGATGATGATGATGGTGATGATGATGTCGATGATGCTGATGATGATGATGATGATGATGATGATGGTAGTGATGGTGGTGATGATGATAACGGTGTCCCGATGATGATGATGATGATGATGATGATGATGATGATGTTGACAATGTGGATGATGACGATGCTGATGGTGATGGTGGTGATGATGATGGTGTCCCGATGATGATGATGTTGATGATGTTGCTGATGATGATGGTGGTGTCCCGATAATGATAATAATAAGAATATTAATGATCCTGGTAATGTGGTTGATGATGAGATGAAGATGAGCTGATGATGATGACGACGATGATGATGATTGTGTCCCTGGGATGATGGTAAAGGGTGATGATGATGCTGTTGATGCTAACGGTGATGATGATGATGATATCCATATGAATATCATGATGACGATGATGGTGGTCCGATGATGATGGTGCTGATGATGAGGGTGATCATGAGGTGATGATGATGATGTTGATGATGGTGGCCCGATGATGGTGATGATGATCATGCTGGTGCTGATGATGATGATGATGGTGTCCCGATGATGATGGTGATTATGATGGTGATGCTGATGGTGGTGATGATGATGGTGTCCCGATGATGATGTTGATGATGATGCTGATGCTGAAAATTAAGATGGCGTCCCAGTGATGATGAGGATAATGTTGATGATGTTGTTCATGACGATGGTGGACGATGATGGTGGTGGTGTTCCGATGATGATGATGGTGTCCCGATGCTGATGATGATGGTGATTATGCTGATGATCATGGCGTCCCGATGATGATGATAATGTTGAGGATGTTGTTCATGATAATGATGATGAGGATGATGATGGTGGTGTTCCGGTGATGATGCTGATGATGATGGTGTCCCGATGATGATGTTGATGATGATGGTGTCCCGATGATGATGATGATGGTGATGATGATGATCTTGATGAAGATGTGGTGGTGATGATGATGATGATGATGGTGTCCCGATGATGATGATGATGATGATGATGATGATGACGACGACGACGACGACAATGATGATGATGATGATGATGATGATGATGTTGATGACGTTGATGACGGTGATATTGATGATGATGATGACGTTGATTGTGAGATCGATTGTGATATCGAAAGTGACATCGATGGTGAGACCGAATGAGAGATCGAATGTGAGTCGATAGTGAGCCCGATGGAGTGAGACGTTGGTTCCTCCCTCCCCCGAACCTTCTTATCACCCGAAGGGTGGTCGTATAGGTATATTGCATAATCTCTGATGGGTCTTACGTTTACACTGGCCCTCCACCTCCTCCTCCTCCACCTCCACCTCCTCCCTCACCCTTTTCTTGTTTCTCTCTCTCTCTCTCTCTCCCTCCTCCTCTTCGGCCCCATCCTCCTCCCCCTCCTCCGCCTCCCCCTCCTCCTCCTCCTCCTCCTCCTTCTCCTCCTCCTCATCCCACTCCTCCGCCTCCCCCTCCTCCGCCTCCCCCTCCTCCTCCTCCTCCTCCTCCTCCTCCTCCTCCTTCTCCTCCTCCTCCTCCATCCCTCCATCCCTCCGTCTCACTCCCTCCCCTTCCCACCTCTCCCCCCTTTGAGAGGGGGACAGAGAGGCCCCCGCGCCGCTGCTGCTCCCCAGACCTCTCCGGGGCCGCGCTCTGAAACCAGAAAGCCCGCAGCAAATCCAGCCGCGGCCACGAGGGAAGGGCCGCAGCATCGGCACATCGGCACCCGCTCCTCTCCCACCTCCCCTCCTCTTGCCCCTCGCCGCCGCTGTGCCGCGCTGGCCGCGACAAGAGGCCCCCGGAGCATATACATACCCCCACCCCTGGTTGATCCTCGTCGTCTGGCTACTGGGTCACGGCTCGGGCCTCTCCGGCGGCTGTCCGGGGGCGATCCGGGCAACCCCCCACAGCGCTCTCGGCGGGGCGCAGCTGCCGGAAGCGGCAGCCCGAGGCTGGAGAGACGCCCAGAAGCGACGAAAGCCCCCGAAGACCTCGAGCCTTTCCCTCCCCCCTCCCCCCCAACGCCGCTGGGGCCCGCGCGCACCACCGCGAGCAAAAAGTCCACAGCATCAAGATCAAGACGAAAACCCCGAGCCCCAACTCCCTGCGCCATCTTTCGATCCAAATCGAGCCGTGAGGGCCCCACAGGCCCAAGGTGTGGGCCCGGCTCGAGCAAAAAAAAAACAGGGCCAGGATCTCGAAGGAGGCCGCTGGGGCCCGCGCGCACCACCGCGAACAGCTCCCGCCCAGCCGCGAAGGCGGCGCCCACGACGGGGCCGTCGTACCTGTCGGGGGGCGCCTGGGCGCGCTCGCGGCTCGCACGAAGGAGCCGCCGCACGGCGGGTGGGGGTGTGCGCGGGGCAAAGCAGCGGGGGTGTTGGAGGGGGGGAGGCGGGAGACGTCGTCGAGGGGATAGTCGCCGTCGCGGCCGTCGACGGGGTGATGGCTGATCCTCGTCGACGTCGTCGTGGTGGTCGTCATCGCCGCCGCCGACGTCGTCGCCGCCGCTCCAATTGTCGACGTCGCCTCCCCCTGAATATCGACCCCCCCGACCTATCCGAAAGGGGCGACAAACGCCTTAGAATCTCTACAGTGCGGGCGCGGCCGCAAGAACCCCTCGCAAGAAACCCAACTCTGAAAACCCGCGCGCAAGGTGCACCGGAGGGGCAACCCGCTGCACCCTGAACGCAGCAGCTCATTCCACGGCCGCTGCGAGTCACTGCGCAGGGCGAGGGGCGAAGAAACCCCGGGTACCCTGACGAAGCGCATCTGGTTCCTTGATGCACGTCCCCACCGTACCCGAAAGGGGCGACAAACGCTTGAGAAGCTCTACCCTCTAGCCTCAATGTTTGATCGCTCGGCGCCGACGACCCATGGCTACCCCGCCCGTGCGCCGCCGAAGTAGGACTCCCACACGGAGGAGCGGGGACGCCCTGGACGCCCTCGCCGTCGCCCACGACGTCGACGTCATTGCCGCCGATTTGCTGAAGACGTCGTCGCCGAAGACGTCGACGTCATCGCCGTACAGTCAACTCGCATAGTAAGGATGATGGATGTCCCAAGGGTACCCTTGCATGCTTGCCTCTTCGGTCATCTTCGGTCCATCCTCAACCACTTTCGATGTGGCCAAACCCGCTCGACGAGCCTCGGCATGGGCGTCCAATCGGGGATCTACTGACCCGGGTCAATCCAGTCCAAACCCGGGTCAGTCAGGCTCTGCAGGATCCTGCAACATCCAGCAAAATCCTGAAGGATCCTGCAGGGTCCTGGTCCTGCTCCCAAGCCCAGGTCAGTTCGGCCCTGGCCCTGCAGGATCCTGCAAGCTCCGGCGCCCTGGCTGACCCCTGTGGCATTGACCCCCGTCTCTTGAGCCCCGATCCCAGGCCCTTGCATCCTCACAGCGTTCCCCTGCTATACGGGTTGACTGCACGTTCGCCGCCCTGACCCCCTGTTGGCATTGACCCCCGTCTCTTGAGCCCCGATCCCAGGCTCTTGCATCCTCACCGCACATCCCTGCTCTACGGGTTGACTGCACCTTCGCCGCCCTCGCTTGCCCCCACAGCGGGGCGGGCCGAGGGCGGCACCAGGCCGTACCCGCGCGGCGGCCGCAATGCGCCCTGCGTGCCCACGAGCCCCGACGGCATGAGCAACCTCTCGACGGTGTCCTGGGGGAGCCGTCGCCGTCGCCGTCGCCGTCGACGTCGTCGTCGTCGTCGTCGCCGTCGTCGCCGTCGTCGTCGTCGTCGTCGTCGTCGCCGTCGTCGTCGCCGTCGTCGTCGTCGATGTTGTCGTCGTCGTCGATGTTGTCGTCGTCGTCGATTTTCGTCCTCGTCCTCGTCCTCGTCCTCGTCGTCGTGGTGGTGGTCGTCGTCGTCCCGAGGGCGGCACTGGGCCGCGCCCGCGCGGCAGCACCGGCAAAGCCAGCCCACATCGGGAAATCGGGTCGGCTCGGGATGTACGGGGCCCAACAGAGACACCACCACCACCTCCCTCACCCCCCTCCTCCCCCAGGAAGGGGGGCAGAGATAGGAGGGTACGTAGAGGGGGCAGGGAGGAGGAATCGATGTGGTGGTGGTGGTGGTGGTGTGTAGTCTTGCCGGCCCGCAGGATGCGCATCAGATCGAGCCGCCCGCTCATCAGGTCGGATCGGCCGCGCCAGAGCCGACGGAGCCAGCTCTCGAGCCCCCGGGGCACTCGGGGCACTCTGGACCCCCACAGGGAGTCCTGGGGACGCCGTGGGCCACGAGCACCTCTGGCAACGCCCGCCGATGAGGGCGCCGTCGACCGGGCCAGGCGCTGGCGCCACCAACGCTCGTCGTCAAAGCTGGCGTGGTCCTCCACGTCGCTACCGTCGTCGTCAACGTCGTCGCCAGGGTCGCCGTCGTCTTTGTCGCCCTGATCGAGGTCGTCGGGGTGGTCGTCCTCGTCGGTGGGGGGCGGGGGGAGGGATGGACGGGGAAGAGGCGGGAGGGAGCAAGGAGGGACGGAGGAGAGAGGAGGGGGCGAGAGGGAGGGAGGAGGGAGGGATGATGGAGCCCATGAGGGGAGGGGGACGGGGGCGTCGTCGCCACCGACGTCATCGTCAATGTCGATACCGTCGTCGTCAACGTCGCCGTCCACGTCGTTTTTCGTGGTAGCGTCGTCGCCGTCATTCTCGTTCATGTCGACGTTGTCGTCGTCACTGTCACCCGCGGCGTCGTCGTCATTGACGACGTTGTCATCGCAGAGGTCGTCAAGGTCGCAAACGTCGTCGGCGAAGAGAGGAGGAGGGAGACCCCACTTCCTTTCCCTGCTTTTCGTCGTATCGGAAGAGGGGGGGGAAGGCGCTGACTGACTGACGAACGTCATCCCGTGGCATCCTCCCGCCGCGCTCGCTGACGACGATGCGCGCGCCACCGCTGCACAAAGCACGACCCCCCTCGCTGACGCTAGTGCGCAACCTTGCCCAGAGAGGGAGCAGGGGAAGGAACACCATATTCTGACGCATCAACCCTTAACACGTCTAGAATGAACATACAATGGAGGTTGGGAAATACGTGTGTCCTCGACCAGGCCACCAGGTCCGGGGGGGGTCCCGGGACAGAATACCATGCTCCCCCGGGGGGGCCCTGGGGCCCGAAAAAAGGCCCCAAGATAGCCCAAGAGGCTCCCCAGACGATCTAAAAGGGTCCCGAATCGCCGAACAATCAGCCCAAGCCGCCAAAGATGGCCTGCCAAGACTCTCGAAGAGGCCTCCACGAGCAAACCAAGAGGGCCCCAACAGGCAAAATTCTATAATCTTCTTCAGCATCTTGAAAGATTCGGGCGTTCTCGCCTTCTCGGCTTACCCGACGCCGCAAGACGGCCCAAGATGCCATCAAGATCGGCACAAGAGGCCCCCAAGAGGTTCCCAGAACGGCCCCGAAACGACCCGAGAGAGCCCCAAGACGTCCGTAGAGGCCTCCCAGAAGACCCAAGAGGCCCCAAAAACGGCTCCAAGAGGGACTCTGGGTTTCTTAGTAGGCGTGGGAGGGTGCCCCCCCGACGGGGGTCAACCTTGCCTCGTCGTCGCGCCGCGACGGGGATCGGAGCGCCTTCGGCGCGCGGTGGCTGCCCGCGACGGGGGTCGATGTGGGGCTGTCCGCGGGGGTGACGCCCCCCCGACGCTTATGAAGAAACTCGGTGCACCCACACGGGAGCCCGAGCGAACACTTCGAGCCCTCGGCCCCGAGAAGCTCCCAGAAGGCCCCAAGAGGCTCCCACAAGGCCCGAAGAGGCCCCCACGAGGCCCCCAGAAAGCCCCAAGAGGCCTCCAAGATGCTCCCAAGAGGCCCTAAAACTGCCCCCAAGAGGCCAACGAGCACGCTCCGAAGAGGCCCCACGAAGCATCCCTAAGGAATATGCCCAACGTCAGCGTCGTCGTCGCCGCCGACGCCGCCGTCGTGGTCGTCGCTCCCCTTCAGGGTCGGCGGCACTGGCCGTGAGGCCTTCCCAATATTTCTTCCCTCGGCCAGGCCGCCAAGTAGCTTCAAGTAGCTTCTCATGTGTTTACATCCTACGCTGGGGTTCCGTACTCGTTGCCCGAGATTTGTGCTGCAAGCCTCGTGACCTCTCCACGGTGTACGTATAGGTCCGTTAGTTATTATGCTGGCTAGCCTCACTACCACTGACGGTGCTCCCCGCGATCGTCGCACTGCCTGATGCCGAGTTGGTGGTGCTCACTCACGTCGATCTAGTCTTCATCGGTCACATTCTGAACCCCTGGGGCAATCTTGACCTGGTAATTGATTGGTCGCCCTCTCGCCGATGGCGCCGCGGAAGCTCCCACAGTGCCGCTTCCCGCCCGTGGCCGGTGGGTACGAGATGAGCCTTCGCTCCCAACAGGTGATGGTTCGCCCCTCGGCATGCTGGTTCCAGATGTCGATTGATGGGCCGATGTTCCACCACCACCACCACCACCATAAGTTGGAGGGGGAGTAGGAGGGGGAGTAGGAGGAGGAGGAGGAGGAGGAGGAGGAGGAGGACCCCCTCCCCCTCCAACTTTGGTTGTGGCGGAGCACAGGCCCATCATCGATCATATGCAACTATGACGGCGTGTATTCGTCGGAGCTGTGGTCACAGCTGTTCTCGGACCACGGTTGCTCGAGGCAGCTTACCTCGAGCGGCATCGAGGTACTCATCGCGAGCGAGGGGAAGGGCTCCTTCTCCTCCTCCACCCCATCCTCCTTCTTCTCCTCCTCCTCCTCCTCCTCCTCCTCCTCCTCCTCCACACCCTGTTCTATCGGTGCCCAGAGGCTATTGGAGGCCCTGGCAGGTTTAGGCTGGTTTCCTGATGTCTTCGGGCCTGCGAAGTCGTCAAAGAGGTCATTTGAGGGAGGCGGAGGCAGCCCGGAGGGGCCACGGAGCAACGAGTCGGCCACACGCTGGAGTGGCCCTCGAGGCAAGGGGGACCTCTGGTGTGCGCGGCTCTGGGGGGGGGGGCGGGGGGGTGATGGAGGGCCCACGCCCAGGAGCGCAGAGCGCGCTGCCGTCGCAGCGCGCTCTGCGATCAGGGGGCCCCGCCGGGCCCGCACCAGGGGCCACTCCTGCGAGGCGGGGATTTATGCATATCCACCGCCTGGGAACCAACGTCCTGCTGCCTCAGCGGGCGATGGGTATGGATATATTCTGGCCCCCCGGGGGCCCCAATAGATCCATATCCACCGCCTGCGGAGGTCCCCGAAGATCGATTCCCCAGGCGGTGGTCATGGATAAATCCCCGCCTCGGAACTCAGGGCGAAAGGTCACTCTCACTTGCGGCCGAAGCGAGGCCGAAGAGAGGGGAAGGAGGAGGCCGGAGAAGAGCGGCGACTACGAAGAGAAAGCCGCGCTGGGGCGCTCGGGAACAACGCCTCGACTTCACAACACGGCCTCATCCTCCTCCTCCTCCTCGACCGCCACCATATCCTGGCACTCGCCCTGACGACTCCCTCCTCCTGGTCGTCGTCGTCTTTCGCCACATCCTGCTTCCTCCACCTTCCTCCAACCTGTCGTTCGCCTCCGTCTCCTCCTCGGCCCCTTCACCCCCAGCGGCAGCTGCACATCATCGTGCCCCTATTCCCTGCTCCTCCGTTCCAAGTCTCCACCGCCACTCCTCGCCTCATCCTCACTGTTCTCATCGTTTGCTCTTATCACCATTCCGCGCAATCTTCATTCTTCACCTCCTCCTCTTTCCGACTCCTGATTCCTGAAGGCATGAGGATCTCGCGGACGCTGCCCTCTCCTCCTCCTCCTCCTCCTCCTCCTCCTCCTCCTCCTCCTCCCTGCTACCGCTCTTATTCGCACGCCTTATCTCCCCATCACCATCCCCGCGTGCACGGGGATGATATGACAACGATGATGGGGATGATGATGCTGATGATGCGGCTGATGATGATGATCATGATGATGATGATTGCGATGATGATGCTGATGCTGGTGCTGGTGCTGATGACGATGATCATGACGCTGATTGTGTGGCTGATGGTGATGGTGATGGTGATGCTGATGATAACAACGCAGCGACAACTTATGCGGATGGCGATGCTGATGGTGATGGTGATGATGCTGCTCGTGTTGATGATGCCGATCATGATGATGACAATGATCCTGCTGATGATGGTGGCCTGGCTGATGCTAAGGCTGGTGCAGTGTTCTTTCTGATGCTGCTGATGATGATGGTGATGATGATGGTGATCATGATGATGGTGATGATGCTGATGATGAGAGTAAAACGGGTGTTGATGATGGTGATGATGGCGATGATGATGCTGAGGATGATGGTGGTGATGATGGTGTTGCTACTCATGGTAACAATGGCGATGTCGATGATGATGCTTATGATGATGATGCTGCTGCTGCTGATGATGATGATGGTGATGATGATGCGGACGAGAATGAGGATTGTGATGATGATACCTATGATTCTGATGATGGCACTGACAATGATGATGGTGATGGAGATGATGATGCGGATGACGATGATGCTGCTGATGATAATGATGACGACAAGGAGGAGGAGGAGGAGGAGGAGGAGGAGGAGGAGGAGGATTAGGAGGGGGAGGAGGAAAGACAGTAGGAGGAGTGAGAGAAGAAGAGGTGGATAGAAGGGACAACCTCTTCATCCGCCCCTTTGTCCCTCCTCGCCCTCCCGGGCGCTCCTCCACCCCCCGCCTGCCCCACTCCCCCCTCGGCCCGCGTCCCCCCCATCCTTTCCTCCCCTCCTGCTGCAGCTCCCCCCGCCCACCTGTGTACAGGGATACGACCGAGGATTCGATCCTATACAATAGTCCGTAGGCAGAGGTGAAAGAGGAAGAGGTTCGCTACTCCTTTTTACAGGGCGCTGCGCGGAGAGAAGCGCGGCATTTGCACCAAATACTGAGCCGATACGTTAGCGGTGTGTGAACTTCCCCCCCCGCACACACACACACATTCGTTCCCCAGCACCCCCCCCCCCCCCCCTGGGGCCCAACCTGGCCAGCTTCCCGAGCCGCCCCCCGCCCGTGGAGGCGAGCAAGCCGCCGACGCCGCCGCCGCCCCTGTCACAGCCGCCGCCGCCGCCATCATTGTGGTCGTCGCCGTCGCCGTTGCCACCGCCATCGCCGTGGCCGTCAGCCGCCGCCGCCGCCGTCGTCGTCGTCGCGCCGTCGCCGCCGCCGCCGCCGCCGCCGCCGTCGTCGTCGTCGTCGCCGTCGTCGTCGTCGCCGTCGTCGTCGTCGTCGTCGTCGTCGCCGTCGCTTTCGCAGTTGCCGTGGTCGTCGTTGTCGTCGTCGTCGTCGTCGTCGTCGTCGTCGTGGTCGTCGTCGCCGTCGCCGCTGGACCCTCCGCGCGAGGCACGCCACTCCCTCCGCACGCGGGCGTGCAAGAGGGGGGTCCAAGAGGGGGGGGCCCGAGTCATGGCCCGAGGCGCGTCGGAAGACTCATGGGAGCAAAAGAAACCACCACCACCAGAACTCCACAGAACTCCGCTCCCACAAGGCAACCCCCCAAAGCTTGTAGCATTCCGTTGCCGGCACTCTCTCCCGGGGCGCCCAGGACGGAGTGCGGCGGGCCCTCCCCGCTAGCTGATGGTGTGGATTCTTTCTTCTCTGCTGAGCACGACGGGGGAAGGGGACGCATGGGAAAGAGGAGAGGGCGCGACCTCGTGGCCCTGGCCAAGACATCCCCTCCCCCAGTCTAGAGGAGCACAGAACGGCATAAGCATAAACTTCTGGAGGTCCGCATGGATTTCTTGGATCTGCTCTGGGCCCCCCTCCCTGACGCGCTCCGCGCGCCAGGGGCGGCGCTGGAGGCGCCGGCAGGAGGCTCCAGCGCAGATCCAAGAAATCCGCGCGGACCGTCGAAAGATTATGTTCATGCCGTTTGTTTCTTTGTTATTCGATGGCCGTCACCCCCCTACGGTGAGGGGGGCATTAGAAAAGGCACCGCTGGATAAGGGTTCAGGGCTTGAAGCCGGAAGAACACCAACTGAGGCTTGGCAGTGGACATCGCCGACGCCCTGATCAGATCAGGAATCCCCCACGGTCTGCAAACTCCTGGGCACATTCCTGAACGAACCCGTAAAATATGGGCGCACAGGAAGGATGCAGGGGCCTTGGAAGGCCATGTCGACACCGTGCGGGCGGGGCGCGGACAGCGAAAGCGGCCAAGGATGGGCCGAAGGGGAAGGATGCAAGGGCAACCTTGGAAAGTCGCTCATCCTTACATAGAAGAAGAACATCCTACATAACCATAAATGTTTGGCGCTCCGCGCGGATTGCTTGGATCTGCGCTGGACGGGCGCGCCACGGGCGGCGCTGGAGGCGCCGCCCGGGGGGGCCCAGTGCGGATCAAAAGAAGTCCGCGCGGAGTGCCCAAAGTTCCTGCTCGTGGCCTTTCTACATTTTCGATGCGGGCCGACTGCAGTCGCGACCCAGCCCCCCTCTTGGAGGAGGGGGACGAGCAGGAGGAGGAGGAGGAGGAGCAGCAGGAGGAGAATGAGGAGGAGGGCCAACCTCCTCCTCGATCCTATGCGGGCCAACCATCAACCCCCAGGCTCCGCGCGGGGGCGGGCGCCGCGCGAGGGGGCCGCCCGCGTCCTCGTACGTCGCGGGCTGGCGGGAGCGGTTCGCCTTCGACCGCTGGGACTGGGCGAGGGGCGCCCGGCGGCGCCGTGGCCGCCGTCGTCGTCGTCGTCGTCGTCGTCGTCGTCGTCGTTGTCCCAGTTCGGGCGTGTCCTCCTACAGGCGGATTTTGGACGAAAAATGAAAAATATTATTCTAAAAAATAACCAAATAGTCAAAACGTAACGAAAAACGGTGGAAAATATCCAAGAGAAAAAGATAAATCGTCCCCGAACTATGCTTAACCATTTTTGGATATTCCTCCTGTAGACCCAAACGCCCGACTTAATCGTCGTCGTCGTCGTCGTCGCCGTCGCCGTCGCCGTCGCCGTCGCCGTCATCGTCGTCGTCGTCGTCGTCGTCGTCGATGGGTCACTGCCGACCTCCTCATCACCCTCGCCACCCTCGTCCTTCAGGCCGTCCTCGTCCTCATTCCTGTCCTCCTCCTCCTCCTCCTCCACCACCTCCTGCTTACCCCGCCCTCTGGCTCCTCGTTCTACTTGGGCGCCCTCCTCCTCCTCCTCCCGATCCTCGCGATCCTCCCGAGTGTGGGGGACGCACAGACAAGCTCCGATACCGCGGAGCGCGCTTTTCCCCGGAGTTTCCATGGGATGTAGCCCGACCGGGATGTCGAGAGGAGTCCGGCCGTGGCGACAGGAGCTCTCCAGGACGAGCCGCGGCATCGCTCCCGAGATCCAGTGCTGCGACAAAAACTGCAAACCCGCGAAGAAAAGCCACGACCGGAGCCCGACCGACATCTCGTTCTGCGGCATCTCTTTCTGCGGCGTCTCGCTCTGCGGCACCTCTCGAGCCGGACCGATCTGTGATGGCCCTGGGGCCCGAGACTGGGCGAAACACGCCCGTGTGAGGAAAGAGACTGCGACGCCCGGATCGCAGGAGCCAGCCCAGGCGTGCATCAAGAACGGGTGGGAAGAACGCTAGGGAGCCAGATGCGAACCCTACCCCTACCCCCTACGATTTCTGAGGGGGAGGGTTCGCATCTGGCTCCCTAAACGTAAGACCCTTGGAGGTTAAGTTGGGATGTTTGGGGCGACGGGCGACCAGGGGAAACGGCAAAGGACGGGCCGTTGAGGCAAGGACACAAGGGTACCCTGGATGAAGACGCGCGCCCTTACTAGGCGCGTTGACTGTACCTCTCCCTCCTCTGGCGATCCTCCCGGGCGGCAGCCCTGGCCTCGCGATGCATCTAGCTGGCCCCATCTGGGAGGCCTAAGATGTTATCTCCTCCTCCTCTGGCGATCCCTCCCAGGCAGCACCTTCGGCCCGGCGCCCCCGGGCACAGGGGCCGGCCTGGGTCGCTCCGCTTCCGGGCCACGCCTCTGGCGGCCGCTCGGGACCGTCTGGGCAAAATCCACTCCTCGTCGGGGCAAGGGAGCAGGGGGGGCGGGCCATAGCTCGAGTCTCTGGCGGCCGTTCGGGACTATCTGGACGAAACCCACTCCTCCTCTGGGGCGAGGGAGCAGGGGGGGCGGGCCGGGGAGGCCTCCCATTTGTCCGACGAGTTGCTCAGCCTGGCGTTGCGCCGGCGGCCCTCGCCGTCGTAGCCGCCGCGGTAGTGGTCGCCGCCGCCGAGGTCGTCGTCTTCGTAGTCGGCACCGTCGTGTTCGCCGTCGTGGTCGTCTTCATGGTGATGGTGTCTCGTCGCCGTGGTCGCCCTACTCATCCTCTACCTCCTCTTCCCCATGACCCTTTCTCCTCCTCCTCCTCCTCCTCCTCCTCCTCCTCCTCCTCTTCCTCCTCCTCCCCTCCCTCTTCCCTCCCTCGCTGCCCTTCCGTCTCCGAAGGGGCAAGAGGTTTGAGGAAGGAGGGGGAGGAAGAGGAGAAGGTCGACGTGGAGAGGGGGGAGAACGATGGAGAACGATGTGGGACGAGGGGAAGGAGGCGGAGGACGAGGTGGGGGAGGAGGTGAAGGACCAGTTGGGGGTGGAGGAAGGGGAAGGGTGGACGGAGGGCGGATTACGGGGGCAGAGCTTGACATCGAGCCGAGCTCATCAGTACCATTTCCTTCTGAATCCGCCACTGTCACTCTGGGCACGGAGTGGGCGTTTCCTCAGGTCCTTTGACTCATCCTCTAAGCCTCAGTCCACACTTTGGAGTCCCGAAACGGTGCGGTGACAGACCTTTCCGGTGACCTCGGAACCCCCCAAGACCTCAACGCAGGGTCCGTCGACGCATGCTTTTGGGGCCTCGGATGCCCCAGTCGCCCGAGACGTCCTCGGAGAACGGCCCGAGTCCCAACACCGTGCGGTGACCCCGCAGCCCCACCGACTCACCGCACGGTGTGGTCACCGCCCCGCGTGGGGGCCCCCGACACCTGCTCCCGAGAAACCCCATCGGGGGGTTCGGACCCCGGGAGGAGCCGCCACGTCTCGCGGGGCTCGCCGCGTACCCCCATCGGGCTCCGGCGCACCTCGGCTCAGGACCTCCCCGGTCCCAGAGGGGGCCCCAAGACGGGCCCAGGAGAGCCCCACGAGGCCCCCCAGACGGTCCGAGAGGGCCCCGAGGCGCCGAGACATCGTTCCACGACGCCCACGATGGCCTCAGGATGGCCCACGAGGCCTCCAAGGCACTCCAAGAGGCCTCCCGAGAGACACACATCATGGGTTGTCCTTAGGATTGTCCTTCGGTTTTTGAGCGATTTTGGCGTTCTCGCCTTTCTGTCTTCTCACGCTCCAAAACGGCCCAAGAGGTTCCAAAGACCACCCCAAGACGGCCCAAGGGAGGCCTCCAAGAGGGCCCCAAGGCGGCCCAAGAGCGCCCCAAGACGATACAAGATGCGCCCAAGATGGCATGAGATGCATCAGAGACTGCCCCGCCCCAAGGGGCCCCAGGGAGGCCCCAAGAGGCGCCCAAGAGGCCCACAAGAGGCCCCCGAGAGCTCCCCAAGACGCCATGAAAAGGCCCAGAAGAGGCCCCAAAACTACCTCCAAGAAGCTTCAAAACTGCCTCCAAGAGGCCCCCGAGAGACCTCCCACGAGATCCCAACGAGCATCCAATATACTTCATACCCACAACCCAGGCACAATGGCAAAATAAGCCGAAGGTCATTCGGTCTACGCCCCCTGTGATCTTGCCACAGGGGTGGCTGGCGTGCTAAACTTCTAATGGCCTTCGGTTCTTTGAAAGACTTCGCCTGGGACTTCGGCTCATTGCGCCGGCCACCCGGAATGCTTGCGCAGAAGTGGTTGGAAAAGATTTGTCCGTTCTGAGGATGGTCTCCAAGACGGCCCAGATGGCCTCAAAGTTCGTCCAAGATGGTCCGCAATGGCCTCATAGACCGCCACAGAGCGTCCAGGATGCCTCTAAGTCCGCCCAAGAAGCATCCAAGACGGCCCAAGAGGCCTTCAAGACGACTCAAGCGGCCTCCAAGAGGTCCTCTATGAGGGCCCGAAGATGCCAAAAGCATTGATTTTTGTTTCTGAAGGATTTGGGCATTTGCTTCTTTTCAGCCTTCCGACGGGGTCCAAGAGGCCCCAACGATCGCCCCAAGATGGCCTCCAAGACGGCCCAAGAGGCCTTCAAGAGGACGTACAGGAAGGACCGAAGAGGCCAAAATCGTGCATGGACCCTCGGTTTTTCGAGAATTCTTGAACTTGCTCCTTTTGGGTCGTCCGACGGGTCAACAGACACCCAAGATAGACCCAGGATCGTCCAAGGATGGCTCAAGATGTCCTCCAGACTGCCCAAGAGGCACTGAAGACGCCCCAAATAGGCTCCGAGAGGATTTCCCCGATGCCAAGATCAACTGATTCCACCATGTTGTTTCCATGACTTTACAGTTCTCACCTTTTCGGGCAACCGACGTTCCGATGCCCCCAAGATCGCCCCAAGACGGCCAGAGAGGCGCCCAAGAGGCCCGCAAGGCGGCCCAAGAGGGCCCCAAGGCAGCCCATGAGGTTTCAAAGACGACCCCAAGACGGCCCCAGGGACCTCCAACATTGCCCCCAGCCGGCCAAAGAGGGACCCAAGACTTCCCAGAAGGGCCAGGAGGCCCACAAGGCCCCCAAGAGGTCTCGAAGAGGTCCCATGAGACTCCCAAGAGGCCCCAGGCGGCCCCCAAAGATGCCCTTTAGAGCCTCCACAAAAGGATCCCCAAGAGCCCCAAGAGAGCGTCATGACGCATCTTCTGCTTCATCGTCCGCCTTCTCCTCCCTCTCCTCCTCCTGTCTATTCTCCCCCACTGTTCACTGTTCCACCAAGGGGCTCCAAAACGGCTGGGGGAAACGCATGGTCCAATAGCTTGGCCGCATGGGCGTTTCCAAAAGGCAGGGGGCGGTGGTGATTCGAGGTAGGCATCTTCGATAACTCCTCCCTGAAATGTCGGTAGGGCGGGCTGAACGCTTCGCCTAAGACTTCATGGTCCTGGAGCTTGAAAGCTGCAGCAGTTTCGCGGATGGAAGGAGGGTGGTATTCACAATGATGCTCTCGCCTTCGCGCCGTAATTACGCATTCGCCCTCACGTGTGCAACAGTTTCACGGATTGAATGCGGCTCCTGTTCAGAATGTGGCTCTCGCGCCAACGCCGCGCACGGTCGTACCAAACTATTGCCAGAGCTGGTGCAACAGATGCTGTGCAACCTATGTGGTGCAATATTTGTTGATCTAGGTGTGGGGGCGGGTTCAGGCCAGACGTTACTTGTTGTGCAAGGGGCCGAGGGCGCTCCGAGGCCACAAGCATGCTGGGCACAAAACGGGACAAAAGAGAGAACGACGGGAGAGGAGGGAGGGAAAAACTTGAGCGAGGTAAACGGCGGCGGGTCACACTCGCAGGCCACAAACGCCTCTTGCAGAGCTATATGTGGGGGCGGGTCCAGGCCAGACGTTACTTTTTGTGCAAGGGGCCGAGGGCGCTCCGAGGCAACAAGCATGCTGGGCGCAAAACGGTACCACACATGCTAGCTTGGTATATCTGGCCCCCGAGGCCGCCCCAAAAACAAAACAGAAATCAGCACGACGTGATAGCTTTACAGATCCTGGCGACTGTGGCTAAACGACGTGCACTGTCCAGCACGGCGTGCACACCCTCAACGGCACGATCGTAGGGGCCCTGCGAGCTTGGGCCCTTTGGGCCGCGTCCAAGTGAGGAAGCCCAAGAGACCCGAGATATCTGTCACATCTAGCACGCGCGCACGAGCAATGCGAGGAAAGCTGGTGCAAACTATTCACACGCCAGCCAACGAAGCGCCACGTTCGATGCACGCGGCCTTCGTACATACAAGCGTCGAACGTCGCCTCCGACGAGGCCGACAGGAGCAGACGTTGAACAAAGGGGAGGTGCCATAGCGCACTGCTAGCGGGGTGCTCGAGGATCGTCGGCACCTTACACTGTACACACACGAGAAGCGTTCGCAACAAGTGATGAGCATCGTCATTGGCAACATTGACCTGCGCCTGCACCGATGGACTGAGGCGAGAGAGCCCAAGGGGCCGAGCCGACGACCTGGCGGGGGGCCTGGCGCACACCGACCAGGAGGGGAGCCCGGGCCGAAACCAAGCCCCCGCGACGCAGGAGCAGCGAATCCAGCCGTGGACGACAGGGGAGACCCCGGGCGCAACCAGGTCGCCGGTAGGGCACCGACACGGGTCCAAAAGCACACTGCCCACGCCCTGGCGGCGACAAGCCTTGTCTATGGGATTCAAGTGTGCGCCGCGCACCAGAAAAATGAAGCGAGGCAGGGCGCGGCTGTGAGAGACAGCGAGCGAGAAGAGCCTGCTCAACCGAAGCGCCACCCGCGGCTCAGCTTGGGGGGCACGAATCCGCTTGGGCCGCTTCGCGGCCGGCAGGTCGGGTGGCAGAGGCGGCAGCGAAGGCGCGCTCCTGTCGTCGCAATCGTCGAGATGAGCTCTGCCTCGCGCCCGTCCACGGCGCTGCCCAGCGCCGCCACGTACTGCGGGGGCGCGGCGATGAGCTGCTGCATCCGAGACCGCTTGGCGTAGCGCTTGAGGGAGGCGTCGGTGACCCACCCCCCGCGGTCCTTGACCTCCTTCCTCGAGCGACGGCCCGACAGGAGGTCGTCGTCCCAGATTCCGAGCCTGACCAACGCCTCGCGGAAGACCTGGCGGATCACCGAGGGCGCGAAGCTCCGCGGCGGATCCATCGGAGCGCGGTGGCGCTTCAAGCCCTGGAGGAGGGGCCACAAGCTCGCGTTGTCGATGATGGCGCTCTCGTCGGTCACACCCGTCTTGCCAGGGCCGCCCGTCGTCGCATCGTTCACGATCATGCCCCGGCGCTGGCGGCCGTCGACTGACCCCGCGCGCGGCTCCACCAGGCTGGCCGCCACCAGGCGATGGGCCTCGCTGGGCCTGAGGTAGGCGTCGAAGGCCAGCCTCGCGAAGACCGCCCCCGCGAACCTCTTGTGCTGGATCAGGAGGCCGACCACGGCGAGCATCGCCAAGCGCGGCAGCGGGAGCCGCATCTGCGGCGGCACTAGGCGGCCCCAGCCTTCGAGAGCCCGCGCGGCTCTCGGCAGAGGGCGGGGGCCCGCCAGCAAGTGCGGCAGCAGGTGGCGAAGGGCTGCCATCGTCGTGCGCCCCGTCGCGGTGTCGAACCCGCCCAGGCAGAGGTTCCCGAAGAAGACCAGCAGCAGTGCGTCCAGCTCGGCGGCAGTCTCGAACGACTGCCCCGCCCACGTGCACCACTGGTGGAAGCGGGCGGCGTGAGCGCGGTAGGAGTCCTGTGTCCGCTGTGTCACCGCGGCGTTCTCGAGGAACGAGGTCCCCCCCCCTCAGCAACTACAGCAGCCCTGGGTGTCGAAGAGACCGCTGGACGTTTGGGCTGCGCTCGGGGGCCTGGTCGCCTGCTTCAGCTTCGAAATCCTTCCACGGCCCCAAGAAGAAGCCCGTCCGCGAGGGCCCATCTGCAACGTTCCGCTCGCCCGGAATCCATCGAACGATCGCGCGGATACCCGTGGTGAGGCTGACGGCGGCCAAGCGTCGGAGGAGACGTCGCAAGCGCTGTGAACCTGCGCGACCCTTGTCGCAACTCAGAGCCAGAGCCAAATGGCCTGCGGTTACCCGTTTTCCGAGCGGCATGACGAACAGCAAAGCAGAGCGCCCCCCCCTCATACTCCAGAATGTTGAGACCCACGCGGCGATGACGACTGGAATGAATGATAACCAACTCCTCCGAATCGCACAGCACCGACGGCACCTCGACGAAATGCGAGACGGAGTCGACGCCCCCCTCCCCGAGCAGCACGTCCGACGGCAACGAGCAACCGACAGCAGCATCTTGAGCACCCTCATCTCCCCCTCCACCTCCGAACGCATGGGCCCTGGCAGAAATCGCTTCCGAGACTCTGCACCTCCACTTCTCTGCAGCGCGGCCCGTGGACGAGACGACGAGGGGGGCCCAGCTTTCTCAGGCGCGCACCCTTCCCGCACGGCGAGGCGTCCGAGGCGCAAAGGGTGCCCAGCCACGGCGCGCGAGAGGGCGCCCGCATCATCGGCAACAGAGCGGCCACGGCTGAGAGTTCCTGCCGGACAGAGGGCCATCGCTTCATGGGAGTGGGACCCGCGACTCGAATGAAACGGTAAACACCATTGGATATCGACAGGCACTCCCTCCGCATGATCATTGCCCACGCGGCGTGACCCACGATGGAGGTCAGGGCCCCGCGCGACGCCGACCCGCGGCCCAAGAGGGCCAGGATGGCCCGCCGCAGGCGGGCGAGGCGGCCGGGCCTCGCGCGCAGCATCCCTGTCTTGCCCGAGAACTGGATGCCCGTAAAGACGCCCTCCGTCTGGGCCTCGGCGAAGTCGTGCACGGGCAAGCCTCTAGCGGTCAGCGCCTGCGCCAGCTCCCGAGCCTTGGCGGTCGCCAAAGCGGCTGACTGGGACACCACGCAGAAGTTGCCGACGCACCCCGCAGCCACCAGGTGGCTCTTACTGGCGAGCGGGGCGGGCGCGGCTCCATCGGCGAGATGGCGGTTCGGCTGGGCCCCCACGTCGATCATGCCCCGTGCCAGAGCTGACTGGCAGAAGTAGAGCGCCCAGTTGCAGCCCGCGGGCGTCGCACGCACGACGGGCTGCAGGAGGGCGTGGCGACCCACGCACAGGGGGCCGACGGTCTTCAGGCCCAAGAAGCGGTTGGAGATCGTGGGCAGGCGGAAGAAGCCCCCCAGGTCGGGCGGAACCGCCATGTGGTAGAAGGCGCACTGGATGCCCCCTGGCCACATAGAAGTCGTCGGACGACTCGAGGGAGGCCCAGGCCGAAGGGGTCGGCAGCACGGTGCTCGGAGGAGACTTGAAATAAGTATTCGCCACCCTCGCGTCGAAGACTAACCTCAGTTTGCCGCCGCTCCTCTCGACCGAGTAAACCCCGACTGAGTAGGAAGAATAAGGAGATGGCGCCACAGTCCACTCCATCACGTGGCGCTGCAGCATCGCGTTCAAAAGCTCAGCATACTTCCGAGGATCGCGAAGCAGAGGGTCGACGTAGGGTTGGTGAACGCCTGGCGCCACCTGAAGCTCCTCGACCTCGCCTGTGGATCTCAGCATACTCTGCCTCCAACCCTGCAACTGGACGGCATCGGCCTGCTGCGCGACGGAGCCGACCTCGACGGGAGGTCCCGAGAGCGCAGGCCAAGCCACGAGGGCCTTGTCGTAGGGTCTGACCCGAGAGGCGTTCTGGTAGCCTGGGGTCGTAGCGAGCACCTCTGCGAGGGGTGCGTCACAAAACTGGCGTTGCTCACTGCGCCCAGGGGGCAACTACAAACGACGGTAATGCTCCTGCAGCTCTCCCCCGACAGCAAGCTGCGCCTGGGAGCGGGCCACGTCCTCACCTGCAAGACGTCCCGCAGCAGAACGATCATGGAGCCAGTTGAGTGCGTCGATACCCTCGTTGCACCGCCGGCGCCAAGCCGCGCCGCGAGCCGCCCGCTGGCGAGGCCGCCGACCGTGGACGGCGCGAAGACGGTCGTCCACGTCGAAGGGTGGCAGCGGCAAAGCATCCCGCTGGCGAAGGCGGGGGGCCTGTGGGAGGCCCAGGCCAGGGGGTGGCCCGAGGGGCCGTGGGCTCGGCGAGCTGGGCAGCCCTGGGGCTGGCCCCTCCCAGCTTGCGTCCTCAGGGAGCGTCATGGCGCCAGCAAGGCGCGCTCCTCGCGCGCCTTGCGTCGTTCCTTCGATACCGCCGCCTCGTCCTGCATCTGCTCTGCGATAAACTGCATCAGCGCGGGGCAGATGCACAAGTTACCCTTCGTCTCTCCGATCCCCAGGAAGTGGCCGACCTCCGTGGACAGCGCGCCCTGGGGTGTGGCGTCCTTCTTGCCCTGCCCCTTGAGCGCGACGGCCGCCTTGCGGGACTTCTCGTCGTAGACCCTCTCCTCGATCAGCTGCAACTGCCGAGCGAGATGCTCGAAGCTGGCCAGCTCGGTGATGACGAGCTGGTCGTGCACCATCGACGTCTCCAGGATGCGGCAAATAATATCGTGCTGTTTCGCCGCCTCGTCGCCTTCGGCCAAGCCCATGACGGCGAGCCACCGCGTGTGCCACGCGACGGCACCTCCAGCCATCCGCAGCATGAACTGGAGGACCAAGAGCAACGTCCGAGGCCCAAGCACGGGCCAATCGACACGCTCGCACTCAGTCTGCTCCTTGAGCGCGTCGCCGAAGGAGCGATCGCGGCGACCACGCGAGTCCCTCACCACCGCCAGGGCGCGGAAGTCGTTGCTCGGGGGCTCTCCCGCGGGCGGCGTGGCCGTGCCTCCAGCGCGGCCGCCAGGCGGAGCGCCAGGCCTGAGCGCCGTGGCCAGCGCATCCCCCAAGGGGTCAGGAGGCGCGAGAGGCGCGGCGGCGGCCCCCAGCGCAGGCGGCGCAGCGGCCACCAGCGGACCCGCCGCGGCGGGCACTGGGGCCGCTAGCGGGTCGCGCAGGAAGAGCAGCCCAGGCGCCATCCCGAGCACATTCCCGTCGCCGGGCTCCAGCGCGAAGTCCTCGTGCGGGAGCGCCGCACCACCACCTGCCGCCGCCTCGCGCAGCGCGTCCCGCACCTGCACCGCCGTGGGGAGCCGCTGGAAACGGTACACGTTCGCCGCCTCGATCCCGTCGACCGCGGCGCCCTGCCCGCTCAGCGGCTTGATGCCCCTGACGCCCCTAGAAGGCACCTGGTCCTCGTGGTAGACGTCGCCATCAGGAGTCATGATGAGCGTCCCCTGGATGACGAGCCGTTCGTGCCAGATCTCACGGCCAGGCACGTTGAACCGCACAAGGTAGAAGTTGCCAGCCGCCATCGGCATCGCGTCAGCGAGACGCTAATGCCCTCCGCCGAGCCTGACGGGCCTGCTCAGCCGCCGCCTTCTCGAAGTCGGTTTCCCCGTGGAAATCGGCCTCCTCCTGCACAATTGACGGCGCCGACGGCCTCTTCCTGCGACGCACCTCGCGGTTGACAGCGGAGACCAGGAGCCCCGCCCCGAAGCCGTGCACGAAGCCGAGGGCCCAGCACCACGAGGAGGCGGACGAGACACGCGCCGCCGTCAGGAACCCCTCCCCGCCAGGGCAGGAGCAGGTGAGGGGTGGGCAGTTCAGCGTCGGCTTACAGATGCAAGCGGGACAGGGATCGGCCGCGGCGCGGACTATCACTGCTGTCTGAAGGGAACGCACGAAGTCGGGGACCGCTTCAACGATAAACGCTTGCATTCCCTGAAAGACTTGAGCGAGGTAGACGGCGGCGGGTCACACTCGCAGACCACAAACGCCTCTTGCAGAGCTATATTGTGCATTATATGTGGTGCAGTCTAGGTTGTGATATATATATATATATATATATATAGATATATATATATATATATATATATATACATATATATACACGAATGGCTACATCCAGTATATATATATATGTATATATACATATATATATACATATATATATCGATGTATATATGTATATGTATATATATATATATATATCGATGTGGTGCAATGTGTGCGGCGCAGTCTACGTTGTAAAATCAAGGCGGCGACGAGGCGACGACGGGGCGGCGACGGCGAAAACATAGCCACCAGACCAGCGGTCATACCCAGACAACGGGTGCCAACGTATCTACCAGACCGGCGGTCAGGCCCAGTTCATTAGAACAGAAGTAAGATACCCTGCGTGCAAGCACTGCTTGGGAAAAACTCTCGCCTTACCGCCGCACGCATTCGTTGAAGATGTTCGCAGCAATTCTCAAAGATAAAGGCGGCACCTTTCAGACATGGGGTAATCGCAAGAGACTGCGTCAAAAATCACTACCGCAAGATCCGCCACCCTGCCTGTCTTGTGCACATCGATGCGTGGAAAATTCCAAGGTCTGCTGGGTAGGGCTTGTGCATTCTAAAGGAGACCCCACCCCCTCGCATGCCCCATCCCCTCCGGAGGCCACGACCTCACATTTGAAACAACTATGTGCCCGCGTTCCCGACGCCACGACCCCTCGCGAAAATAGCGGTATGTCGGCGTCCCGAGCTTCGAAGACGGCCCAGGCAGGCAAGCAACCAAGGACACCAAGATAGCCCAAGATGCCCCGAAGACGACCCAAGATAGCCCAAGATAGCCCAAGACGCCCAAGATAGCCCAGGATAGCCCAAGACAGCCCAAGATGGCCGCAAGACAGCCCAATGTGGCTTCAAGACGGCCCAAGGGCCCAGAAGGCCATGACCGGACCTCCAACAGGGTCCAGAGAATCCAGTATCAATGATCTCCCTTTGTCAGTTAAGTATCGCGTTCCATCCTTTTCGGGCTTCCGTCAGCCCAAGACGGTCCAAGAAGCCTCCACGATTGGCCCAAGACGGCCAAAGAGGCCCCCAAGAGGGTCCAAAGATGGCCCAAGAGGTCCCACGATGGCCCAAGAGGTATCCAAGATGCCCCCAAGGCGGGCCAGGAGGGCCTCCCATGGGACCCAAGACGGCCTTAACGACCTTGCGACGGCCCAAGACGGTCCTTCGACGGCCCCCAGACACACATCGTGCGGCCAAGACGGCCACAAGACTGCTAAAGAGAGCCTCAAACCTGCGTAAGCGTGCCCCAAGACGGCCCAAGAGGGCCCAAGGGGAGCCCCGAGACTGCCTCACAGGAGGCCAAGACAGCGCCAAGGCAGCTCTCACGAGTTCCATGAGAGCTCCTCGATTAGTGAAGACGAACGGTGTCACATGAGACAGCCTTGCTCTTCTTCCTCCTCCTCCTCCTCCTCCTGCGCCTACTCCTCCTGCTCATCATCACCATCACCACCATCATGCATCCTCATCCTGATCCTAATCCTCGTCCTCCTCCCCATCATCAGTATACTCTTCATCGTGAACGACAGATATCATCACACCCATTATCGTCGTCGTCATCGTCATCATCACCACTGCCACCACCATCATCAGCGTCATCACCATCACGACCCTCTCAACCCTGGGGACACGCGGTGTCACACGTGACGGCATCACTTGCCCCTGCGAACAATCGCCACCCAGAATGCTGGTCTGGCACGGTGGCGGGACTTGACGCAGGCAGCTAGATTGAACAGGTGCAACAGCTGCGCGAATGGAGGGCGGCCCCTATTCGAAAAAGGGCTGTCGCATGTGACCTCTTGACATGTACTGGCTGTTTAAGTGGTATCGCGAATGTTTACAATTGGGACTCTCGCTGCACACCTCGTTGACCGTACGGATCCCGCTTCGTTGCCTCCCTGATTTCAAAACGGTGTCATATTCTAGATAGCAGGACCATAGGGTGCTCGTCGTTCAGGGGGGCGCATCTGGTAGTGAAAGGGAAGCCGTTGGGGGCTTATGACCTATGCCGCGGGAACGTGGGACGGGAGAGTGTATTGCAATGTCGCTGCTGCATCCCAGGTATGCTCTGGTCCGCTTTCTCCTCCTTCTGTTCTTCTTCCCCTCCTCCTTGCCATAATCCTCCCACTGGCCCCTGAAAGCCCGCAAGGCTCTGACCCCACCGATGGCTCTGCAGGACGCATGACCACTAAACAAAAAGCGCCATTCCTCCTCCTAGTCACTCTCCCCCCCTCCCTTCCTGCCTCTCTACCGCCCCCGAACCTGTGGAGGACGCCCGAACATCGAATGATCGTACTCCTTCTCCCTCCTGCACTCCCCATCCCGCCCATCACTCGCTGAAGCCCATGAGCGCCTTCTGGCGCGAAACAAAACTAAACACACACATTGGAGTTCACGCCTCCTCTTCCTCCTCCACGTCCTCCTCGCTCCTCCAGTCAGCGCTCCGCCGCTCCTCCTCCTCCTCCTCGTCCTCATCCTCCTCCTCCTCCTCCTCCTCCTCCTCCTCCTCGTCCTCGTCCTCTTCATCGCTCCTCTTTCTCAACATCGTTCCATGCCCTCTTCTTCTCGCTCTTCCCCTCCACGCCCCTCCCATTCTCCTCCTCGCTCCTCCTCGCCACTCCTCGCTCCACCTCGCCACTCCTCCTTCCTCCCCTCCTCCCCACTCCTCCTCGCTCGCTGCTCCTCCTCCGCGCTCCTCCTCGCTCCTCCTCGCTCGCTCCTCCTCGGCACTCCCTCCCCACCGCCCCCCTCCGCCGCCCCTCCGCCGCCCCTCTCCTCCGATCCCCCTCCGCCATGCTCCTGCCTCGCTCCCTTCTCCCCGCCTCCCTGCTCCGCCCCTCTGCTCCGCCCGCCCCCCTTCACTCCCTGCCTCCCTCCCTCTCCCCCCTTCCCCCTCTGTCCATCCCTCCCTTCCACCCCCCTCCTCCTCTCCTCCCCTCTCGACTGTGCTCGCTCTCCACTCCCCCCGCCCCTCCCTCCCCCCGCCCCGCCCCTCCCTCCACCGCCCCCCCCCGCAACCTCCCCGACGACGACGACGACGACGACGACGACTACGACGACGACCACGATGGGGACGCGGGCCTTTCGGAATAGGCCGAGCCGTTGCTAGACGTCTTGCTAGACATCGGCGCACCCCAACCACTGGCCCCGCCACGCGCGGGGGGGAGTGCGGAGGACTGAGGCAACGTCCCTTTTTGCACCGCGGCGGCTCGCGCGAGGGGCGGTGGCAGGGGAGGAGGGCGCAGACTCGAGAGTCGCTCGTGCCATGGGAACTCCTCCTCCTCCTCCTCCTCCTCCTCCTCCTCCTCCTCCTCCTCCTCCTAAGCTACATCCTCACGCTTCTCCTCCTGCTCCTCCTCCTCCTCCTCCTCCTCCTCCTCCTCGCCCTTCGCTTCCCGCATACATCATGTTGATTCGTTCCTCCTCCTCCTCCTCCTGCTCCTCCTCCTCCTCCTCGTCGTCATCCTGCTCCCCCTCCTCTTACCAAGTGCATCCGCTTCACTACCGCCCTCATCAGCAAAATCGTCATCATCATAACCACCACCAGCATCGGAATGGTCAGCATCATCAGCACCATCAGCATCATCAGCATCAGCATCAGCATCATCATCATCATCATCATCATCATCATCATCATCATCATCATCATCATCATCAGCATCATCATCATCATCACCGTCAACATCATCATCGTCAGCATCACAATCATCATCGTCATCATCATCATCACCCACACCAGTACCAGCGTCAACATCATCGTCAAGATCACCATCATCGTCATTATCAGCGACTCTATCATCAGCGCCATCAGCAGCATCACCAATATCAACATCATCATCAGCATCATCATCAGCATCATCATCATCATCATCAACATCATCATCATCAGTATTAGCATCATCATCATCGTCACCATCCGCAGCATCATCATCATCATCGTCGTCAACAGCCTCATCATCCTCATCAACGCCACCATCAACACCCATCAACATCATCACCATTACCACCACCACCACCGTAATCATCATCATCGTCATCATCAGCATCATCGTCATCATCAGACACAGCGTCATCATCATCATCATCAACATCCTCATCACCATCAGCAGGATCATTAGCATCATCACCCTCATTCGTATCATCGTCGCCTGTCGTCATCATCATCATCATCATCATCATCATCATCATCAGCATCATCATCATCATCCCCACCATCGTCGGCAGCATAATCATCATCATCAGCAGCAGCATCATCAGTGTCACCACCATCATCATAATCAGCATCGCCATCCACATCGACATCGGCATAGCCATCGATAGTATCACCATCATCACCATCATCATCATCATCGTCATCATCATCATCATCATCGTCGGCAGCATCATCATCATCATCATCATCATCATCATCATCATCATCATCATCGTCATGATCATCATCAACATCATCGCCATCGTCATAGTCACGGGCATCGTCATC